TACCACAACTACTACAACTGCCAAACTACCACTAGTACCACTAGCACTAGCCTCACGACTACCTACTACCCTCTACCTCAAGCCCTCACCACCAGTACCCACTGCCACTAACGTCTGGCACTGCCACTACCACTGCTTACTGATGCTGCACTATACGGCTGCGGTTACTGCTACGACGACCACCACTACGGCCTCGACGACCTCCACTGCCGTGCTTTGCAAAGCCAAGCCAGGTGGTGCAGGATGTAGTCCCATCAAAGGTATTCCGTTTATGTATTCGCGGTGCAATTACCGCTTGCTGTTCATATCGTCATCTGCCCTTGGGTTCTGCGGACTGGGGCTTGGACATGGCTTTCGCTTCTTCGGCCGACGGAAGATTCGATGGCGGCGCCTAGCAAAAGTCTGCACACCTACTGTAAGCAGTCATGCGCCAACAGACATATGCAACTTCAACATGTAGAATTTCGGGATTGCAAGTCATAAGGAATAGTTTGACTTGTTTCTGGCGATAGATCTGCAGCTATGCTATGCAATAGCTGTAGTACTCACAGCGGGAAGACTCGTCAAAATAATATACTTGATACGGAATACTCATCACCAATACTCATCGCCGATCCTCAATCGGAGCAAGAGATGCACCGGCATTTTGCGTTCATCTTACTGACCATTACTATATCGGTCGCCATCATCTTTTCCGAGAACATCATCATCATCGTCATCATCATCGTCATCATCATCAACATAGGCGGCAACAGTCATGAGCAGTGACCTCTTCATCATCATGATTGCCCCAACCATTGTCAGATTCATCATCTTCTTCTTCAGCACAGCACACCACCCCGACCGCCATTCAAACCACTGCCACTGCCACCAATAGTCCTCCTTCTTCTGCTACAAGTCATGCTCTCACTCTTACTCTCACCCTGACTCTGACTCTTGCTCGTGCTCATACTCTTGCTCGTACTCTTCTCTGGTACTGGCACTGGCGCTGGAGCTGGTACTGGTACTGCAAGTGGTACTGGTACTACCACTGCTGCTGCCGCTGCTGGCACTGCTACTTCTACTACAACTACTACTACAACTACTGCTACTACTACGACTACAACGACTACGTCAATAACAACTACTACTTCTACTACTACTGCTGTTCGAATTGGTGCAGCTTCAGCTACGGTACGTATTTAATTCTCCGGCTAAGGTCTTCCACGAACTCTGACATCGCACCCAGCCTCAGCAGCAACGTCCACGACCTCCTCGGCCACAGCGACCTCTTCGGCCTCCTCCACCTCTTCCTCCCCGCTTTCCACGGCTTATTGGGAAGTTCAGCTTTCGGGGAGTCGGTGTTGGAGCTCTGCGTGCTCGGGGGCTTGGCACACTGACCCGTGACAGGTCCAATCACGGCGCCCTGCCTCCTCCAACTCGTCTTCATCTTCGTCCTCTTCCTCCTCCTCCTCCTCCTCCTCCAAGGGCTGTAATTCTGAAACGTGCCAGCTTCACTCCAGGGCTACCTGCGGCACTTACATGCATAGGACGAACATCTGTCTTCGGCATGGGCGGCATGTTCCAACAGTATCCCTTTGTAGCACCCGAATAACTTTGCTAGAATAGACCCCAAAGCCCCCATTTCTAACAGCTGAGGCCCCTCTATTACCCCTGACTCTACCCAGGGATAGCCCTGAGAGACACCTGCCTCCACGACCTCGCCTCGCTCCATCCTCTCCTGCTCCTTGGTGAGCTCCAGGTTCAGTGTTGGCATTGAAGTGTTTAAGTTATTACTTATTTATTTTTATTATTCGTTCTTCTTCATTATTACTAACTATTCTTAACTAACTATTAACTATTAATAAATATGATTATTTGTTATTAACTATTATTGGGTTTCGGTATTCGGGTTTTGAGGTCTCAGTGTTGAGATGTTTTGAGGCGTGGGTTGCCGGGAGGTCTCTCGGCCCAGACCCCCGGCGTCGGACTTGGGCCCTTGGGGATGAAAAAACTGTGGCAGCGTGGGCTGAAACGCCTGTAGCTACACTAAAAAAAACCAAAGTCAACATCGCCTAAGCACCGATGCCCAAAACCCAAACCTTGAGCGAATCCTCAGCACTGTGTTGACATGAGCTCCTCAAGCATCCGTTGGCGCCGAGACTTGCGGTTTGCCTCCAAGCAAAGATTGAGGGCGTCGCAACACGGGGGATCTTGGGCTGTGCAAGGGGACACGTGCGTTTGGAAACGACGAACCACACGCTTCTAGCTTGACGTTTGGTCTTTCGGGCTGCGGATTCACTGAGGTGCTACTTGAGGAATTGCGACTTATTCCGAACAAGAGTGGCCTGCCTCCTAGAGTTTGATTCCATGCTTTCGCATTTCCCTGCCACCTCGAATACTTGCTAAATCCGCTCTTTGCTGCCGTATGATGCCTCCAGGGTTGGTTTTGTGAGGACCTGAGTTGGAGGCTCTCTTGCATATATACTGCATTACGCTGCTCCGGTGCTGAGCACGGCTCTTCCTGGGCTTGCATTCGTGCCACGAACCGCTTTGCGCAACTTGCGTGTACTGTGGCCCAAGACACCCGTGATGGGGTTGTGGATGCGTCGCTGCGGACATTAGGCTCGCTTTAAGCACCTCGGCCTGCAAGCTGGCCTGACAGCCAGCCAGCTTCTTAGGCAGAGATGTTTTTTGGAGAGAATCTCCAACCGATCTGAGTTCTGCACGCCCTGACTTCCCCTACTCTTTGGCCCTAAACCCTAAAATCTAGGGCCGAACATCTTATGGCCAAAAATCTCCAAAGTAACGGGCACAGAGGCCCGGCAACTTCTCTTGGCCCTCGGCCCGCTCGTTCTCGATCTTTGCCCGCACCGTCGGCACCTTTTGGAGGAGGGTTTTCTTTAGGGTTTAGGGTTCGGGGTTTAGGGGATCTTCGGGGAGATATGTTCATCATATGTCTCGGGGATTTGGAGGGGGGCTTGCAGTAGGAGTTCAGGGAAAAGGAAGCTTTAGAGGTCTTCGGCGTTGGTGACTCCAGGGCTCGAGGAGGCTTGAAGTCTGGTTTTAAGCGATGGGTTCTCGACGAAAGTCTTGATTCCCCCTGGACTCCAGGGCACGCTGAGTCCCAAAGCTCAGACTGGAGCGCCCAGCCTCAACGAACCTAAAGCCCCTGAAACACAGTTGACTGGGTTCTTGTTAAGGAATTTCATCTAAGTTACTATATCTATAACAGGGTTCCATGGTAAATAAAATGGTTTCCTTATTATGGTAACTTAAATTAAATCCCTTATCCAGAACCCAGTTGAAGCGCCGGCGAACCTTTACTCCCGACACACTCTAAACCTTTAAACGAACGCCCACGGAACTCACAACCCCCAACCCTAGATCCTACAGCCCGTTAACATCCTATGAAATGCTTCTTCGAAAAGCGAAAAACTCCAAAATCCTGACAACAAACCTGTTACAAACGCCACGGGAAACCGATTAATTCAAGCCCCTCGGAAAAGGGAAAACCACAAGCTGCAGGCGGACCCTTTTGCATCTCAATGCACCCCTAAACCCTAAACTACTAAACCCTGAAGCCTAAAACCTAAACCCTAAACTACTAAACCCTAAACCCTGAACTCCTAAACCCTAAACCCCAGAAGCAGAGCTTTTCGGGAGCCCCGGCGGTGTCCGCAGGCAGGGATCCCGGCTCGGGCCACTGTCTAGGCCTTTTTTTACGCGTCGTGTGGTTGATGGGTTAGGGTTTAGCATTTAGGGCCTTTAGGGTTTCGTGTGGTTGATGGAGGGATATGGAGGCTTTCGGGCTTTGCACCGGTCGGTCGAATCAACGACTTGTGTAAGTCGTCTTGTTGTCGTTGTGTCTCTCCTTGTCCTCGTCGTTGTTGCCGTTGCTGTCGTTCGTGTTGGTCGTCGTCACAGTTGGCAGCAGCATCAGTCAGCGGCAGCAACAGCAGTAGCAGCAAGAGCACGAGAGCCTCGTCCTCGTCGCTGTCGTCGTCGTCACAGTGGTGGCGGTCGTCGACGTCGAGCCAACTAGTGAAGCACACCGTCTCAGATTTCAATGAGAATCGGGGACACATCGCAAGGCAACAACGGCGCAAATCGAGACTTTCAGGCTCTAGGGTAAAAGGTCTGCTGGGGTCTGAACGGCCCTGGACTTGAAGTTGCAGATCAGACTTTGAGTTTCTATTGCAGGGCTATAGTGGCTACTTGGTAGCGGCCAGAGGATTTCTCCGACTGGAAATGCAGCGGATCTGGGATTAAGACTGACGGTGCAAGAAGCCAAAGCCTCACAAGCAAGTAAGTCATCGGGGTCTCTGCAAAACAATTGTCTCCTCTTGGCCCTCCGGCGGAGGCGCTCCCGGGCGAACAGGTGCATACTGCGGCGTCTCCCACGCCTTGGGCCCAGGGGTGCGGGGCTGGAGGGATGCAAGGGCTCAAGAGAGTTGAATGAAGAGATTGAGTCTAAGCTGAAGGGTTGTGGGATCTGCTGGGCACTTCAATGCGGAGTCTACAGGAAGGCATGATGAGCTCATGCATGCATGCTGGCCCATAGAAATGTTGGGGGTTTAACGTTTCGTGGGTAAGTGCACAGGAAGGCTGATAACTTGTGGCTCGAGCGGGCTTGACTTGAACAAACCTGCTCACAACTGAACACCCCGAACGTTGAACTAAGTCACCAAAGAGCTCTGAATGTCCACAGAAGACACTTGAACACCTTCAGTCGCTACAAGCCGCAAAGGCCAGCTTTTCAAACCGCTGGATTGAAATCCTCGAGAGGCGCCTGCAAAACTTTATTGCAAGTTCTGACTCAGCAGCCCAATGGAATTACGGCTCTATGGCCAACCCCTACCCACCAAACCAGAGCCATAGGCACAAAACCAAAGTCCCTCCCCAATGATCCTAAACCCTAAACCCTAAACCCTAAAATCCTAAAATCCTAAAATCCTAAGAAGCCCATCTGAGGGCCCTGCAGCCCGCGGGTTTCCGCGCTGGTGCCGGGGCGGTGGGGCCGGGCCGGTGGGCGACACCTCAAAAGGAGCCCTTAAAAGAGCCCTAAACCCTTAAAGGAACCCTAAACCCTAAACGGCCCTAAACCCCTCTCCTTCTTGGAATGGGAGGAATGGGAGTGGAGCTGAGCGAACCCTGCCACACACTAAACCCAAGCACACACCCCTTCCGCGGCCAAAGCCTTAAACCGACAACGCCAAGGCCCCGAAACAAGTTTGGTCACCGCAAGCAGAGCGCACTGGGCCACCCAGCGTAGGAGTCGGGTGCTTTGTACTTTCTTGCCTCGATGTCCTGACGAGGCAACACGTGAGTTTAGGGCTTCGCAATCGGATTTTACAGGGTTGCTATGGGATCTTGCCGGCAAACTTAGGGTAGCATTGGACATCGAAGGACTGCTCACTGCTATGACAGGACTGCAGAAAACAGGGCTCATGCGTTTTTGGTCTCTTGGCGTTTCGGTCGTAACCCCAACGGCCAGAGCCCGAAATCCCACAAATACGAGCATCAGCCCCCTTAAGCTTTCCTCCGAGACCCCAATCACAAACCTTGAAAGGCCCTTTATTTTTCGGCCCAACCCTGATCTGCAAAGACCTTAAGCGCTAAAGCCCAAGCCCTGAAACACCTACGACGAACGAGTGATCCCTAAACCTTCTCTGCTGCACCTAGACTGCCCTTATGGCTTATGAAGCCCATTTCATAGGCTCCTAGTCACATCCCCTAAGCTTCGGCACCTCCTCGGGCTTGTAGTGGCCCGAAACGTCAAACTCTTCAGGCTTCGGCGGCTCCGTGGGCGCAGGCTTCAGCACCAACTGGAAGCAAAGTGGTCCAAAGGCCGTTTCAGGCGATTTAGGGTTTTGGGACGGTTTCGTTGGGGTTTAGGGATCCGTCTACAGGGTCTGGCGGCCACAAAGAAGGAAAGGAAGTTCAGGCTGTGAAGATTCTCTGGAACAGACAACCCAAGGGTCACAGGCTCGGGGCCCGGACGTACGGAGTGCCCTTCGGAGGCAGCGGCTTCCCCTCCTTGTGGGCCTGGCTTCTTGGGTTTGGCGTCGCTACGAAGCAGAGGCACCGTTCTCGCTTTGCGAGCAGGAACGGCAGAACCCTTCAGCTTTCAGAACCCCCTCTTTTTACAACGAGCGCCTTGATGCGCTCGTAGACCTCCCGCTGCCGCCGTCTAATCTCGATGACACGGGCCTCCTCGTACATCCGAGCCTGCATTGAGATCGGTCGGAGGATTTTTGCTTTGCTTCGGTTTCCCTTCCGCCCTTCCGCTTTGGCCTCGTAGGCCTCCATGATCGGATCCCGCGGCCCGTAGAGGGAAGCCTTGGGAACACAGGGCACCAGGCTGAGGCTGGCCCTTGCCGAAACACCGCCGAGCTCCCAGCTCGCTCCTGCTCTTTCTGCGACCAAGCCTGGCGCCTTTGCGCCGAGTGCTTCTCCTCCAAGCGCCTGCTTTACCCGAACAGAGACCATCTCAACCCGGCCACTGGTATACCGCTTCAGCGCAACAGCTGCGGCGCTACAAAAGCTTCAAAAAATCCACGCCCCTGGCCTCGCATCCCATTTCAGCTTCATCTCATCGGCCTCGCGCGCGTAACGCGCCTGTCGCTCGTCCTCGGTCTCCTGCGAAGCCCAAGTCGTCAATACGACGCGTCGTCCCTTTTCTTCTTCCGGCATGGAAGTATAGACCAGGCCCTCAGACCCGGAACTAGAGAAAACCGTTAAGAAGCTATCTTAAGTCTCTGCTCGCGTCCTCCTCGATTTCCCACGGAGCAAGGCCGGTCGTAGACTCAGCCTGTGGCAGCATCTTAGCGACACAGACCAAGCGGCTATAAGCCTAGCATGACGCTGTACCAGTGATCGGTGAGAGGGGAATCTTGCTGGTATCTCCTTGGAACCTGGCTACTATCTGCTCGGTGTGCTAGAGTAAAGCTTGAGTAGTATATCGTTGCCACTAGCATCACCTCAGTCTTTATGGTGTCCTGGTATCACGCTTCTGCACATCTCACCCGGGCGTCGAAATATGCAAACTTACGCCAGCAATGGTTTCAAAAAACAAATCTAGTGTTGGCACTGTTTTTGCGTGCTGGGGCTGTTCTACATGTCAGCTTTGAACTTACACTCTTCTGCTCGCCACAGGTTACGGTGGTGTCATATTATTGGTACTGTAGTTGCGAGTAGTCAGTACTCGGCAGCATAAAACGGCTGTAATGTCGGGGCGGATGTGGGGCACGGCGAAGTGGAGTCTGTGCAATGTTAGTCTTTTGTCAGCTTTACTCGGTGAGATCCTACAGCATTCTGTGATTCCATGCAACCCATGTCAATACCGACAGCATGATGAACACACCTTCAGCCCTCGCTCGCCCAATTCGTCTAAGCCGCGATCGCCACACCTCCACATCCAAATCGCGAAATGCTGAAACACGGAAACGGAACCTGCATACCGTGAGAAGCATTCAGAATGTTTGCCTCCACTGTTGTGGCTCGGCAGGTCCCCCTTGGCCGTCGCTGCGCCCGTGCAGCGGCGCAGGCCTCACGAGCACACTGCGTGAAACTGAACGCGGAGCCTTTCAAAGAGAGTGTAAGCTGAAGGATGACACAGGACTTAGCAGCCGTCCTGCTCCAGAAAATGTCCTTTCCTTTGCCGACAGTGACAATGCAGTCAAGTGCTGCATCTTGCCCATCAACCTCCCTTGTTGCTCACTCCCTGTTACTAAGACTTCAACGACACAGATAGCCATCCGAACAATGGAACAAAACAAACTCCAAAAACACACACAAAGCCTTGAGCGCGATAAAAACAAACCGGCGAAGGGTGGAATATTGAACCCGAAACCGGGAGTGCGGCCAGTGCCGCAGCCAGAGCCGTGCCCGCTCCATGCTCGCCACCGCTGGGCGGGCGGGCGGCCTGCGCCGGTGTTTGGGACTGAAGCCGAGAGTATACACAGAGATAGCCTTACTTCTGCACATATTAACACATATACACATAACAGGTGTGCTTGTGTCTGTCTGCATAATATGTGTATGAACATGTACAGGCATCTGTTCCATGTAGACGCACGGCCTAAATTGCTGGACGTTATCCTCATGTATACGGATGTGGTGCATTATCGTAGCTGAAACGGTGTACCTATGCTTCTGCAGCCAGGTACTGGACGACGCATCTGCGCATGCCTACGCATCTGACTGCCTCTCGATTATTGCCTCCAGTGGATTGGTTATATGGCATAGCATAGCTCTCGAAAGCTGTTGGGTTGCGAATTCTTCAAGCTCCAAAGCTACGGCCTCACAGTGCACGGCATGGAACAAAGGAAGACTAACGCTGAATATGTACACCCTGCGACCGACACCTGAAAGCTGATTGACAACAGTAACATGGATGTCGCTATCACCGTGATCCCCAGCACCACCACCAAAGCAAGCAGCCCAAATGTGCACGGAACGTAATGCAGACTTCAATACCAACATCAACAATTGCTTCTTCATGGCAAGGCTATCAGCAGCCAGCCGCTACGTACAGCAAGAGTCTGAACCAAAGTCTTGGAACCGGCAGGGTAAACAGCAGTACCATCAGGCCACAATTGAACCAAAGGTGCTGACTGCTGAAGCAGTGATTCCATCAGTGCGGACAATAATTAAAAGACCCTGTGTTAATTGCAGCACAAATAAAACAATAACAGCAACAAGTGTGATCAGGAAAAGATCAGGAAACAAGGCCCCCCTCCGAAGACTGCAGTAGAACAGACCAAGAACCTTGAAGGAGTGCAGGACTACAGCTGTAAAGTCGAAGTGCATGCCTGTCTGGATCCTAGACTCGACGGACGCTGTGCCAAGTTGCTTCCAGACCTGAGCCAAGGCACAAGCATGTAACAGGCCACTCCTGCAGATGGCCGTCCCTTTTCCGGAAGATCAAGGGTTTAGGGTTTAGGATGGTTTAGGGTTTCAGCCGCATCCACAAGAAGCGTTAGCTGCAGCTCCATGCGCTCCCTGCACCTGAGCTCTGAGCGCTCCATGAGATGGGTAAACCCAGCCGAGCGACGCCTGAGCTTGAAGCACAAACAACGAAGCGGGCGTTTCCCATTTCGAGAGTGACGGCACTCAGGGAGTTCTATGTAGCTTTGTTGAATTCGCGATATGCACAAACGTGTTGCAACAATGGAGCCTGACATGACAAGCCCTCTCCGCTGGTTGCATAAAACATGGTGAGTGTCGAGCCTTGGGTTCAAACAGGCTTCGGTGACGTCGTGCGCGATTTCAGCGCCGCTTCAAGCGCGCAAGACTACGAGCGGTGTGTCTTGCTGAAACTCCCCAGAAATGCCACAAGGCCCTAAATCAACTCTCTGAACAAAAACTCAAGATCCAAACACAAAAACCCTCGCAGCTCAGCCAGGCCAAGCCCCGGGCCATGGCACAGACCCTGCGCCCGCCCACCCGGGGCGCAAGCTGGCACATAGGCGGCAGCGGCGCGCGTGCACGGGAGAAGCAAGAAGAAAGACCAAAGCGGAACCCCAAATCAAACCCTATCCTTCCATCTGCCTGCCTAGCCGCTTCTCTACTTGTCTGTGGTCTAGCTACCTCTGTGTCTACCTATCTATAACTACTTTAAATGCCTACACACACATATACAAATATACATACAAATATAAATATAAATATAAATATGAATAATGAACAATGAACAATAAACCATAAGTAATAAATGTAAATGTAGATTTAATATAGTAATAAAAAATATAATACAATATAATATAGTGAGATATGATATAATATAACATAACATAACATAACATAACATAATAAAATATAATCATCTAATATTACATAACGTAATACAATATAATATAATAGAACATAACATAATATACTCCAATACAATACAATATAATACAATATAATATAATACAAAAATAATATAATATACGATAATATACGGTAATATAAGATAATACAATATAATACAATATAACATAATATAATGTAATATAACATAGTACAAAATAATACAATACAATACAATACAATATATTACAATATAATAAAATACAAGAATAATATCATGTACGATAATATACGATAATATACGATGATAAAAGATAATATAATATAGTACAATACAATCTGATATATAATAATATATTTTACAATTTTATACAATTTTGTATTCAATATAACATAATAAAACGTAATATAATATAATATAATATAATATAATATAATATAATATAATATAATATAATATAATATCATATCATATAATATAATACAATACAATATCATGTAATATAATGTAATATAATGTAATATAATGTAATATAATGTAATATAATGTAATATAATGTAATATAATGTAATATAATGTAATATAATAGTATAGATTATAACATAAAAGATACTCACGGACTGTAAATGCATGCACATGCAAACACACACACACACAATTAGACATACAGGTTTAGACGGGCCTGTTCGCAGCTTGTTTTGGGTATTGAGATGCGTATTTTCACCTGTCTTTGCACCGGTAGGGCATTTAGTCATCCGTCCCTGCTGAAATCTACGTATACCGAATTCGATCGGCCCTGAATGTTTAAATTGTTTACATGTTCGAACGGTCGTGATTCAAGGCTTCGAGCGACAAAAGTTTGAAAACTTGACAACTCTAGATGCCCGGCAGAACCCTCTTCAGGGGAGGCACAAGCCCGCACACGGTCAGCGGGCGTTTTTGAGTGTGGAGAGGTGATTCTGGCACGGCTGGCGAAAACAGAACCGCCCGGCTCAAGCCACGGCTATCGACTCGTGGAACTCCTTGAAGCCCTTACATTACATGGGTAGTTCTCTACATTAGGGTCCCTTTTTGGGGTCCCAATATCGTACGGCACCCTTATGAAAAGGACCCTAAAAGGGGCCCCCAATTTAGAAAACTAATTACCCACATTGCTGTAAAGCGACTATGGTTCAGGGTTTGAGGATTCGGGTGTAGGGCTTCGGTGGGCGGCTGGTGGGCTTGAAGCGTGCACTATCCTTGTGCGGGTTGCAAATATTACCCTACTGCTGCTCGTGGAGGCATCAGTTGGTGGACGACTACTGCCGCAGCTGGCACAGATTGCGTAGCCATGGCCAGAAGAAAACATGTTGATAGTCAGGGTGACAAGATCTGAATTAGGAAAACCAGGGGTCTTCTTTAAGGGGTGTTTATGATAAGGATACCTCTACTTTCAGGGTTTCAGATTGCTTTCTTCTAAAACTCTCAGATAGCCTTTTGCATCTCCTAAACCCAGAACCCTAAACCCT